ACCGTTTCCAGGCGGAGAGCAATACTGGCTTGAAAACCTGTCCCCCACTATCTGCCTCCCAGCTGAGGAAAAAAGGCCCTGGTTCTTCCCCAACCTGTGGAGTTTGCACACAGGATTTGCACTCTGCCCCATGTTCTGGCCAGGAGGTTTCTCACCCCGTTCAAATTGTTACAATGTTCAGCTAGAGATTTCTCTGTCCCTGTGTAGTTTTACCCCCCGCTCCTCTTCCATTGGATCCCTGTGGTGCCAGGCAGGAATGGTCTGTTAGGGGACCCAGAGAGCCCCCAGGGCCTTTCTCCTGCTTCCTCTACCCCTGGATTTTGCTCGGTTCTCCAAATTGACTCAGCTCCAGGTAAAGTCAGAAATGTCTCCCACAAACAGAACTTCAGCTTCTCCAGTGGGAGTGTGTGTTTCTCACATCTGCAGTTGGGGTACTCACAGTTTTGGGCGGTCCCCTGGGTCCTGCAGGAGTAACCCAGTTCCTTCAGAGGGTCTGTGGGTCCTCTTGGGCCTCAGACTCTTTTTTAACACAGTGACTTGGACATTTGAACAAAGCTGGCACATGAGATGAAACTCTTCTGCTGTTCCTAGCACAAGACTGCCATTAAATTGCCTTTTTCTTATTGTAGGTATTTTGCCTGGAAATTATCACCATGCTATTTGAACCAACGTCTATTCTCAATTATATAACACAAATTCTTGTCATCAACTTACCTCATTTTGAGACCTTACAGTAAGGAGGGAAGCTATACAAGTTCTTTTCTTCCCCCTGTTATTGTTTAGTAGAAGCTGAATGTAACAGTCATGAGACAGAGATGAGGAAAGTTAGTGGAGACTACCTACAGAGACCCCAGTCAGGGTCTAGCCTGTCCTTCTTTATTCATTTTATAAGATTAGTCAGCTGGAGTGGATTTGAATAGAAGAGGCTTTGCCCTTATGATTCTTTTGTTCTGAAATAGTTCTAATCCCTATGACCAGCTTATATCTTTATATTGGTAAGTGATGCCCTTTTCCCCTATCCAGCCCTCTGGAATCACTCATAATGGTGTGCCTGCCAAAGGCTCCTGTTTGCATTCTCATTCATAGGGTTATCCTTGAGCAATGGAAACTGCTTCTTGGGGAAGTGAGGTTCCTCCATCATCAACCCAGCTGCACAATTCACCCAGAGCCAGTGACTAACTGGTATAGAGGATACAAAAGCCCAGCTACTTTGCCTCAAAGGCAAGAGAGTTCACTGTGCAATTTGCACTCCCTCTTTCCTTTGGGATCAAACAGGCTAGACATCACTTGAAACCACATCCTGACTTAGTCTTTCCCTTTCTGTAGAGTGTACTCCCTCAACGAATTCCTTGTTTGAGTGTCCCCATCTCAGGTTTTGCTTTTAGGGACTCTGACCTAAGATAATACCCAAATTGCATTTGTATGTTTAAAACCCAGTACAAATGGCACTTTGTCAGCAAATCTTTCACTGGTTGCACAGAAGGAAATCATTGCTTCGTCTCTTTGAACTCTGTACATTCCATGAATTGTAGCTATTAATAATGTGGTTTTGTTCCTCACTGGGGTGGATATCCCTCAAGGCTAGTCTTTATTCTTAGTCTCTTATCCACCTCTTCTACTTCTTCCTATGCATCTCTATCTCTTGGTCTTTTTCTCGTTCTCTCTCTTCTCCAGACCCTACGTCTCTCCTTAAAGTGTGAGCTCTTTCTTGACCCTGGACTTTTGTTTTTGCTATTTCCCATGCCTAGAACCCTTTTCCCCTCACAATGCTGATTCACACTCGACATCTCCCCTCAAGTCACCTCTCAGATGTGCTTTCTTTGACCCCCCACCCTGTGCTAACTGCCCTCCTGAATTGTCTTCTGTTGTACTCATCTGTATTAGTGTCCCAGGGCTGCCATAATACTACCACGCATAGGTGGCTTATGCAGCAGAAATTCATTTTTTCACAGTTCTGGAGCCTAACAGTCTAAGATCACGATGTTGGCAAGGTTATGTTGTGAGAGCTCCAGAGGAGGAGCCTTCTGTATCTCTTCCTAGCTCCTGGTGGTCAGTGGTTGTCAGTAACCCTTGACTTTAATTGGCTGGTAGACACATCACTTAGATCTGTACCTGTTTTTGCTCAGCGTTCTTTACTGTGTGTGAAGTGTCTCTGTGTTGGAATGTCCCCTTTCTTATAAGGCCAAGAGTCACACTGGATTTGGGACCTACCCTTATTCAGGATGTTTGAATTAAGTGCAACTTGATTAGATGCAAAGGAACTAATTTTAAATAGGTTAATATCCCAGGTTCTGGGTGGACATGAATTTTTGGGTGGACATTCTTCAACCTAGAACACCTTCATAATATTTACCACAATCTTTATTTGTTGGGATTACTCTCCTATATGTCTTTTGATTGTCTCTTTGTGCATGTCATATTCATAGTTGTATCACCAGCCTCTAGGTGAGGACCCGATACTCAGGAGACACTTGAATGCTGGTTGAATAAAAGAGGGAAAACATTTTTCACACAAAGGCACAAATTACTGGGACAAAATTATTATACCTGCTAATTAAATATGCAAGTAGGGAATGATGCAATGCCTACAAAAGGGAAGGACCTGTTTCAATCATAATACACTGAAATGATGTTCACAAATCATTTATCAGCTTACTCTTATACATCATTCAAAAAGTGAATCTTTTGCTTGGAATTCCATTTTCCTTTGCATACATTAAAAATATAGATATATGTATAGTCATATGTTGCTTAACAATGGGGATATGTTCTGAGCAATGCATCTTTAGGTGATTTTGTCATTTTGTGATCACAGGGTGTCTCTACACAAACCTACATGGTATAGCCTACTGCACACCTAGGCTATATGGTATAGCCTATTACTTCTAGGATACAACCCTAGAGAAGATGTTACTGTACTGAATACTGTAGGCAATTGTAACACAATGATATGTATTTGTGTGCCAAAACTTATCTAAACATAGAAAAATGTATGGTAAATATACAGTATAAAATATGAAAAATAGTACACCTGCACAGGGCATTTACTGTGAATGGAGTTTTCAGGACTGGAAGATACTCTGGGTGGGGCAGTGAGTAAATGGTGAGTGAACATGAAAAGCTAAGAGATTACTGAAGACTGCTCTAGATTTTATAAAGGCAGTATACTTAGGCTACACCAAATTTATTAAAAATTCTTTCTTCAATAATAAATTAACCTTAGGTTACTGCAACTTTTTTTACTTTATAAACTTTTAAATATTTTTAAGTTTACTCTTGTCATAACACTTAGCTTAAAACACAAATATTGTACCGCTATATGAAAGTATTTTCTTTAACCTTATTTGATAAGCCTTTTTCTGTTTTTATTTTTTTTTAAATTAATTTTTTTTTTTTTTGGGTCAAAAACGAAGTCACAAACACATACATTAGCCTAGGCCTGCAGAAGGTCAGAATCATCAATATTATCATCTTCCACCTCCACTTCTTGTCCCACTGGAAGGTCCTCAGGGGCAAGATCACGCATGGGGCTGTCATCTCCTATGACAATGCCTTCCTCTGGAATACCCCTTGAAGGACCTGCCTGAGACTGTTTTACAGTTAACTTTTATTTTTTTTGCAGAAAGAACGTACTCCTAATAACAATAAAAACTACAGTATAGTAAATGTGCAAACAGTAACATCATCATTTACCATCATTATTATTAGATAATGTACATAATTGTATGTGCCATACTTTCATATCATTAGCCATGCAGTAGGTTTGCATATGCCTGTATCACTAAAAACACGCAAGTAATGCACTGCACTATGATGTTAGGATGGCTAAGATGTCACCAGGGGATACGAATTGTTCAGCTCCATTTTTTTTTTTTTTTAATGGAACTACCGTTGTATATTCGGTCTGCTCTTGAGCGAAATGTTTTTATGGGATACATGACTGTAATGTAAATTATATAGATGATAGATAGATAGATAGATAGATAGATAGATAGATAGATAGACAGATATTATGGTAGGATTTAACCAGGAGAATTATGGTCAACTCAAATATCATAGGGCTTTATGTTACATAACCATCATATTCAATCTACTTTGAATATGAACTCTTTTGGAGAATGTATCTTTTTATTTCAACAGAGAAAATGATTGCATAAATAGATATGGGCTGCAATTTTCAATAACAATGAGATATATTCAGAAGCTCAATGGGGCTAGTGCTAATGAGGAAAAAAATAAAAATCTTTGCTTATAAATGATGTTTCACATATTAATTTTAATTAACTTTATAGCACTCAATATATGGTATGGCACATTAGCTTCTAAGTTTTATTTTGGTTATTTTGGTTAGTTTTTTTTTTTTTTAAACAGTTATAAGCCTGAATTGGATAGTCAGTATCATTAAGGTGTGTACTACAGAGAATGAGCCAGAATTACCCACATGGGTTCTATTAGCAGTTCCCAGAATAGCCACTGCATGAGTGTCAGTACTTTGGAGTAATGGTCAAGTTGTATAGCTATCGAACCCTGGGTTTAGCTGTGTGACCATTGACAAGTTACATAACCTGTCTTTAAATTGGTTTCCTCTTTTCTAAACTGGGAGTAATATTGGTACTTAACTCAAAGAGTTATTGTGAGGATTTAATGAATGACTATATACAAAAGTGTTAAAAATGGTGCCCTGTAGTAATCCAAGCCCTATAAAAATACTATTGTTATTATTACATAGTATTGCTGATAATTAGAAGTTATTTCTGAGAGTGCAAAAACCCTTTCTCTTAAGATAGGATGGCTTTGGATGTCCATTTGGATAAAACTGTTTTTTTGTTTTGTTTTGTTTTGCTTTTAATTATTTCTCTTTTTCCCCAACTAATTGAATTCAATTATTGTTGTTTATTGAATGTGATTTCAGAAATTTGGTCTGCATTTTAGTTGTTAAATAACGGTTTTAACTGAGTGGGAAGAACAAAGGATAATTGTTATTTTCTTCTGGTATACAGCTCTCAAGAGTTTGAGGTTTTTGAGGTTTGCCAGTACATCAGTGGAATATCAAATGACAGGATGAGACCTAGAAGACAAATGTAAAATTCCAAAATGCATGTTGTGGATGAATGCAGCAATATGAGATGAGTACTATTTGGGGTGAGTATATTTAGGAAATTCTAATTTAGGAACTTTTTATTATTATCTATGAAAAAACTCCTTTTATTTCCCCCTAGTCAGATTTAGTCTGCAATGTATCCTGACCACAATGGCTTGGGATATAACCTGTATCCAATAATCTTACTCTAAAATATGCTGGCCAGCAGCCTCTGTTCTCAATGATGTTATTTTGAGATCTCATACCTACTGAGTGAGATACTTGAAAGCAGAGCACAAAGCATCTTACAGTGTTATCAATTCTGTTCTCTCCATCTGGAGCTAGCCTAAAGGTTGATTATATTAGAATATTTTAGCATAATATTAAATTAGCACAAATCATTTTGATTGGACATTTTAATATTGTGGCAGCTATTATTTACTTCTTGTATTTTTTGGTGTTCTATTCTCTTAAACTACAAAGATGAAAAGGTGTTTATTTTTACAATGTGGAAAATACCAGCATAATCACTGTTAATCTATTTCTTCCTGTCACCCGTTGGTTTTCTTTCAAACAGTATTTTTGTATATTCTTTTCCTTCTGTTCTCATGACAATATATTGTGTGCTGAGCTTTTCCTACCATGTTACAAAGTAACGTGATAGCAAATCATCTTAGATTTGCCCACTAGAGCAAATTTATTTATTTTACGACATTTACAATAGCAATTTATTACATGTATCTGTTCTATTTTTGAAATTTCTTACTAGTAGGAAATTTTAAAATGTAATCTTCATGGATTAAAAAACTTCAGAGTCCTCTCACAATGAAGACTATCCCAGACATGAAAGCAAATTTGTTTGACTAACCTAACTCAAAATCCTAGCAATAGGTCTGTCAGGCATGGCTGGAACCAAGTGCCGTGAGGATATCATTGTTACCTGGTGTATTAGTCAAGGTTCTCTAGAGGGAAAGAACTAATGGAATTATGGAAATATATATATATATATTTCCATAATATATAATTCATATATATTATTCATATATATTCATATATGTCATATGAATAACATATATGAATTATATATATATACACACACACACATATATGAGTTTATTAAGTATCAGCACGAGGATCACAAGGTCCCACAATAGGCCATCTTCAGACTGAGGAGGAAGGGGAGCCAGTTCAATTTCCAGAACTGAAGAACTTGAAGTCTGATGTTCAAGGGCAGGAAGCATCTAGCACAGGAGGAAGATGTAGCCTGGGAAGTTAGGGCAGTCTCTCTTTTCACGTTTTCCTACCTGCTTGTATTCAAGCTGCGCTGGCAGCTGATTAGATTATGTCCGGCTCTCCCCCTCCCCGCCCCCGCCAGATTAAGGGTGGGTCTTCCTGTCCCAGCCCACTGACTCAAATGTTAATCTCCTTTGGCAGCACCCTCACAGACACACCCAGGATCGATACTTTGTATCCTTCAATTCAATCAAGTTGACACTCAGTATTAACCGTCACACCTCGTTTCTTTCTATTCGCCCAGGCTGGAGTGCAGTGGCGAGATCGCGACTCACCGCGGCCTCCCGGGTTCACGCCATTCTCCTGCCTCAGCCTCCCGAGTAGCTGGGACTACAGGCGCCCGACACCATGTCCAGCTAATTTTTTGTATTTTTAGTAGAGACGGGGTTTCACCGTGTTAGCCAGGATGGTCTCGATCTGCTGACCTCGTAATCTGCCGGTCTCCGCCTCCCAAAGTGCTGGGATTACAGGCGTGAGCCACTGTGCCCGGCCCTCTTTTTATTTTTCAAATCTGCTAAGTCATTGTTGGAATCATGTAGTCATAATCAACAGGCTTCTATACTCTCAAGTGCAAGTCTTTTAAAAAGGAGACATTGGGGCTTTCTCGTCAGCTTGACAAGGTCTTGGGCCTGATTCACATTAGCCCAGTGGATGTTTTGCCTAGTAATAGATATCGTTTGAACTGCTGGACTTTCTTCAAATACCCACTACAAAAGCTTCATCTTTCAGATTATTATGACTTTCTTCATTGAAGTTGTTGGATTTCTAATAGTTATCCAATAATTCTAGATTGACTTTAAGTCCAGAACTAGACAGAAACAGTCAACAAAGGCTTGACCAACAGTAAAATGCACTGTAATATTTCAGAAATACCATTGGCCATTTGTTTATCCCAATATTTTGATTTTAAAAATTATGATCCTATGTTTTTGCATTTTCCATGTTGTAAATATGTTTATAATTTTAATGAAAATCAGAAGCTATTTCTTGACTGCTAAAAATGCACAATATGTGTGTTTCACCACAATGTAGTCTATGAGATTCTGATTAGGCTTTGGATTCAGACTTCTGGGAGTCAAATTTCAGCTGTTACTTAATCTCCCTAAATATTTGTTCTGTCAGAAAATATGGGCACAAATTTATTGGGATTAAATGATCAACTGAGACAGTGAATGAAAAGGAGAAATGTGGTGGGTATTATTTTCCTACTTAAATTTTATGCCATACTTCAAGATAATCATTTCTCCATTTTAAATATATGAATTCTTAATAATTTCTACTTTGTAACTGGTATAGATGTATCAAGTAAAAATCTGTATCAGGTTAAAAAGTTTATATTTTTAGAAGAACATCAGTGATTGAGTGATGTGCCACTTTCTCTATTATTTGCTGTATTCTGTTTTATTCATTAAACTTCCTTTGTAATGCATTTCGTTTTTCTTTTTCTTTTTTTTTTTTTTTTGTAAATTTTGTTTTAAATTGAAGATTCTCCTATTTTAGAGCTTCGCAGTTGGTAAAGTGATCGCAGAACAGACCAGGTGCTGCTTACTGGGACTTCCAAATTCTAAAAGCTGAGAAGATTAACCTTTTACCAAAGACAGTGTGCCCCAGAAATTGGTCAATAGGCCTCTTTGTTTTTCACTGAAATGTCAGGGCTCCGAAATATTTCTTTCTCTAAGCACCTGCCAAAAGTCAATGGCGAAAAAGAGGACATAAAAACAGAGGGTTGACTCGTATTTATATTCTTAATGACTTCGATAGTTTGTTGAAAAGCGTCTTCCTCTTCGTGAAGATTGACAGAGAAGAAAGCACTAAATGCTGGACACTGGCGGCCCAGACAGAAGTTAAGAAAGACAAATATTCCTTTGTGGACTCTCTTGCCTTTTTACAATACTGTTGGTTTCTTGTGAGGAGATATATACTCCAAGGGTCACTATTAAACATGTGGTATAGCTTTTACTTTCATATATTTGTGAAAAATGAAGCAAGGTCTGGTGGCTTACAAAAGCAACCTAAATTATTTGGTGAGATGGTATGATAAATTTTGCTGGTGGAAGAGAGGGAAGGCAACGACATTCAATCACCCCAATGATCTGTCTTATAGAACTCATCTTTATTCCTGCACTTTTTATTATAGAAAAAGAGGGTTTTCAGAGAAATCAGACATTGATTTGTTTATTATGTGATATTAATAGAAAGGATCCATAGTTACAACCAAAGATGTGAATAATAATAACTAAAACTTAATATTTCATTGCTTTTAAAGCTCCCTTAAATACATACTGTAATTGGATTTACTCTGCAAAATTGTAAGGGCTGTGTGGTGTATATTCTTTCATTTTATAGATGATAATACAAACTCTAAGAAAGGTTAAGTGTTTTATCTAAAGTGACCCAGATAGTCAGTGGCTGACTTGGGAACCGAATTTCATTGTTTCTATTTCTTACTCAGTGTTCTATTTTACCACATTGTCACTCAGACACTTAAAGTGACATCTTTGTGGATGAATTAAAAAGAAATTCTAAGAAACTGTTTTCAAATGTGTAACAATCATCAGCCGATGTGAATATTGGCAAGCCACAATCCTTTTTTGTTTAATCTTTTAGAAGGGGATTTTCACCATGTTGAACTAATAGAAATCATCTCTAAGTTCATAGGACTGTGATTTCATTTATGTTTCCAAAAGCATGGTGAGCTTCACACAAAACAATTTTCCGTCTTTTAAGTCTTGCTAATCCACTTTAAGCTAGGCAAAAGTCACACATCATCTCAGCTGCTATGATCACATACAAACCACCTCCGCTAATCTCTTCAAAGGGGATTTTCCTTTGCACAGGCAGACTGCACAGCATGGGACTTACAGTTAGTACCTTGCAAAGTTTCCCAAGTTCATTTATAATGCCGCCTTTATCCTGAAACTATAGCATGTAAGGTCTCCTCCAAACAATTCCAGGCCCTTTTACAGCTGTTGCTGGTTTTCTCCCTAGCTTTCTAAATAACTGATGAAGTCGACTATGCAGTCATTACAGCAAGGAGTGACTGTGATTCCTACTATGTATTTGCAGATGGAAAAAGAAAACTACCCTGATATCTGACACATTGAGTTTCCAGGATGAATCAGAAAATATTGGTTGTTGGGTTTTCTTAGCTTGATAAGATAAATAAATAAATAAATAAATAAATCTCTCTTGTGTTTCTGAATGCAATTTCCATTTTAGACATTTAAGCATGAGTTAGATAGTTTCTAACACATAATGAATGGCATTATAAATAAGTTTGAGTGGTTGGAAAAATATAAGCACATTTATAACAATTGGGCAGAAATATGAAACTGAAAGAAGTTTGCAAATCCCAGCTTGATACATTTCATCTTAAAACAAGCAAACCTACACAATTTACATAAATTGCAGGAAAAAAAGAAATAGGTTTAATCAGTGAATTCAAGGATATTAATAAAACCTTTTTTGCTATGAAATTTGTAATGATATTCTGTAACTATGTGATTTAATTCCTGAATTGTAGCTCAGGAAGTTTATTTTCATGTTCTTGTGTATTATAACTTTGGAAAAGTTTTTTTTTGTTTTCTTTTTAGAAACACCACTATGATTCAGTGAAATACATCCTACCTGACTCACTTCAATTCAGACGGTAACTCAATAGAGCATGTGATCATTAACTGGGTGATCATATATCCCTTTGTTGTTATTTGACAAAATTTATAGGATTCTAATTTCAACTTAGTGCTTCTTCTGAGGATTGGTA